CTCCCACTTGTTAAGGGACCAAAAGTAATGGGACAATTGGCTTCTCAGCTGTTCCATGGCCAGGTGTGTGTGGTATTCCCTTATTATCCCAATTACAATGAGCAGATAAAAGGTCCAGAGTTCATTTCAAGTGTGCTATTTGCATTTGGAATCTGTTGCTGTCAACTCTCAAGACGAGATCCAAAGAGCTATCACTATCAGTGAAGCCATCATTAGGCTGAAAAAACAAAACAAACCCATCAGAGAGATAGCAAAAACATTAGGTGTGGCCAAAACAACTGTTTGGAACATTCTTAAAAAGAAGGAACGCACCGGTGAGCTCAGCAACACCAAAAGACCCGGAAGACCACGGAAAACAACTGTGGTGGATGACGGAAGAATTCTTTCCCTGGTGAAGAAAACACCCTTCACAACAGTTGACCAGACCAAGAACACTCTCCAGGAGGTAGGTGTATGTGTGTCAAAGTCACCAATCAAGTGAAGACTTCACCAGAGTGAATACAGAGGGTTCACCACAAGATGGAAACCATTGGTGAGCCTCAAAAACAGGAAGGCCAGATTAGAGTTTGCCAAACGACATGTAAAAAAGCCTTCACAGTTCTGGAACAACATCCTATGGACAGATGAGACCGACATCAACTTGTACCAGAGTGATGGGAAGAGAAGAGTATGGAGAAGGAAAGGAACTGCTCATGATCCGTCGCATACCACCTCATCAGTGAAGCATGGTGGTGGTAGTGTCATGGCGTGGGCATGTATGGCTGCCAATGGAACTGCTTCTCTTGTATTTATTGATGATGTGACTGCTGACAGAAGCAGAGGATGAATTGTGAAGTGTTTCGGGAATATTATCTGCTCATATTCAGCCAAATGCTTCACAACTCATTGGACGCTTCACAGTGCAGATGGACAATGACCCAAAGCAGACTGCAAAAGCAACCAAAGATTTTAATGGAAAGAAGTGGAATGTTCTGCAATGGCCAAGTCAATCACCTGACCTGAATCCGATTGAGCATTTCACTTGCTGAAGACAAAACTGAAGGGAAAATGCCCCAAGAACAAGCAGGAACTGAAGACAGTTGCAGTAGAGGCCTGGCAGAGCATCACCAGGGATGAAACCCAGCGTCTGGTGATGTCTATGCGTTCCAGACTTCAGGCTGTAATTGACTGCAAAGGATTTGCAACCAAGTATTAAAAAGTGAAAGTTTGATTTATGATTATTATTCTGTCCCATTACTTTTGGTCCCTTAACAAGTGGGAGGCACATATGCAAACTGTTGTAATTCCTACACCGTTCACCTGATTTGGATGTAAATACCCTCAAATTAAAGCTGACAGTCTGCAGTTAAAGCACATCTTGTTTGTTTCATTTCAAATCCATTGTGGTGATGTATAGAGCCAAAAATGTTAGAATTGTGTCCATGTCCCAATATTTATGGACCTGACTGTAATTTTCTCACAAATAAAGCTTTCTTTTGGTGGTATGTATTTGCTGCTGGGAGTTTTATTTTTTGTACTATAAACAAAAAAATGAGCAAAACTTTTGAAAAAAAAAAAGTTTCTTTGTTTCTATTTCTATTTATTATCTGTTTCTAAAATTTTGCAAACAGATAATTTTTCTCCTTCACTGATGTGCGTTGAGGCACTGATAGGCAGCACTGATATGCAACAATGATGGGAACGGATTAGGCGGCACTGATGAGGTGGCACTGATGGGCAGCACTGATATGCAAAAATGATGGGCACTGATGCTGCTGCACTGATATGCAACAATGATGGGAACTGATAGGCGGCACTGATGATGCTGCAATGATATGGAACAATGATGGGAACTGATTAGGCGGCACTGATGAGCAGCACTGATGATGCTGCACTGATATGCAACAATGATGGGAACTGATTAGGCGGCACTGATGAGCAGCACTGATGATGCTGCACTGATATGCAACAATGATGGGAACTGATTAGGCGGCACTGATGAGCAGCACTGATGATGCTGCACTGATATGCAACAATGATGGGAACTGATAGGCGGCACTGATATGCAACAATGATGGGAACTGATAGGCGGCACTGATGCTGCTGCACTGATATGCAACAATGATGGGAACTGATTAGGCGGCACTGATGAGCAGCACTGATGATGCTGCACTGATATGCAACAATGATGGGAACTGATAGGCGGCACTGATATGCAACAATGATGGGAACTGATAGGCGGCACTGATGCTGCTGCACTGATATGCAACAATGATGGGAACTGATAAGCGGCACTGGAGGGTAGGAACTTACTGACGGTACTGTTGGGCACTGATGGCTGGTACAGGTGGGCACTGATCATCAGTGCCCTGATGATCGGTGCCGGTCCCTCCTCTGACAATTGGCAGTACTTTTCTCACGCTGCGACAGCGTGAGGAAAGTGCAGCCGATAACCGGCAACTGTATTTACCCGGTGATCTGTTGTGTCATTGGACACGGCTGATCACGTGGTAAAAGGCTGCTGCGATTGGCCTTTTACCACATCACGTGATCAGGTGTGTCCGTACAACACAGCGATCACCGGATGCGCACCCCGGGGGCGTGCGGGAGGACATGTTCTGGGAGGACGTCATATGACGCCCTCCCAGAACTAGCCGTCTGCACTGAAGCCGGCATTCAGTTATCTGCAGTTGACAAAACCAGGACCTGTGGAAGTGATCAGGTGGCAGTGCAACCGCCGACTGCTTGCACCTGACAGGCAGGAGTCTGCTCTCCTCTCTCTGCTCCACCCGCCATGGTGCTCCCCGGGCCCTCAGATGGAGAAGCGGGTCTGGATACATGGTGGGAGCACACAGGAGGCCCGTTACCCCCGGTTCACATCTATGTAGGTGGTGCCGCTGCGGATCTGCACGAAAATCCGTGCAGCCGCACCACCCGCACAGAGAATTACGTACCCGCGGGTGCCATTAGTTCTAATGACACGCCGCCCACACTGGGAAACGCAATCGTACTGGGAACCTCGGCTGCATTTTCCAGAGCAGTGCAGGGACTTCTTCCCGGCATGTCACGGGAGTCCATTCAAATGAATGGGCTCTCGTGGCCGAGCAAAACGCATAGGTGTGAACCTAGGGTTACCGGGGACTGTGGAAGCGATCACCACCTATACTGTTTAACCTCCAATATACTGTCTCACCCTGCTCTGCACATGCTCAGTTGCTATTTTTTGGCACTGCCAAAAATGTAGAGGCCAAACTGCTGACAGCCTAAAGGTTTACTGCTGCTCAGGGGCTGTGGGCTTCAGTAAAATGGTCGACTCTGGCAAGAAAAAATGGGAGCAGTGCTGGAGGCACTTTAGAGCACACACTAATTCTGGTAGCAAATTATTAATGTGAAATGAATGTTCCTTGCTAAAGAATATTATTTTGTCATGTCATTATGGGTCAAGTTCTATGTATGAAGATAAAAAAAACCTTCTGTGTGCAGCTTCCTCCAAGGCCCCCCCCCCTTATTCCAGAGCTGTGTCTCTCCATCTCCTCTCTGGACAGGGAGGCAGCAGTGGGAAACATTGGCTCCTGTGGTTGTCAATCACAGCCTGTGAGGATAGAATGGGGGGCATGGCTGAGCCACGCTGTGTGTGTCACTGGACACACAGCACAGCTCAGGATCCAGCCTGCACAAGTGCCCTCACAGCATGCAGCGTACTATGGTGGGTACTCCGCAGGGAGGAAGGGACAGGCGCACTGGCGGAGGACCTGAGAAGAGGAGGATCGGGGGTTACTCTGTTGAAAACCATTGCACAGAGCAGGTAAGTGTGACTTGTTTATCATTTTCTTTTTAAATATAGGTTTACAATTACTTTAACCAGTTCACGTATACAATACGAATGGGAAATTAATAGGCCTCCAAATGGTGGAGCTCAGGTGTTCCCAGTGAAGAATACAGGTAATACTACTATCCACATAGATAATGTAGATAATGGAGCCCATTCTTGTGGTTGGAGTCTGGATAGAAGGCATTTTCTCTTCCAGCATGACTGTGCTCCTGCGCACAAAGCCAGCTCCCTAAGACATGGCATGACTAGTTTGGTGTGGAGAAACTCGAGTATCCTGCACAGAGCCCTGACCTCAACCCAACTGAACGCCTCTGGAAAGAATTGCAACGTTGATTGCTAGCCTGGTTGTGACAGGAGTCACTTTGGGTGGGGGGCCCATGGAACACAGCTCAGTTTGGAGAGGTGGGGAGACCCCTGTCTCAGCTCCCCATATCCCCCTTATGTGTAAGTCACCCTGTGCCTGTTAGGGGTACAGGGTGATCTGTCATAATATTGTGTAGACATGCCTAGGAGATAGGTGGGGGTTGTGGATTGTTTGGTGTTATGTGGTTGCATCCCATTGTTCAATTGTGTGTCTTGCTTGGGAGCAAACTGTCTCCAGCAGCCCTCCCTCCCAATGGGACAGTCTTTTGGTGTGTCTCTTGTTACTAAATGTAGATTTCCCTGCCCGGTGTCATTATGCAAGGAGGGGGGGGGGGGTTAAAGTAAACTAGTCTATTTCCTGGTTTACTTCAAGACTGGTGTCATCTAGTCTAGTATGGTCTGTTGTCGGTGTTCGAACGGGGAAGCGATATTCTAATGGAAGTACCCAAGCGCAGTCTGTGTTCGGTTCCGTTACACAGGTCTTCTCATCTAACATCAGTACCCAACCTCACAAAATGTCCTTCTGGCCAATTGGACACAAATTGGACACCCTCCAAAATCTTGTGGAAAGCCTTCTCAGAAGAGTGGAAGATGTACTGGCCACGAAGAGGAGCAACTCCGTAACATGGCTGGAATAGGATACCCAAGAAGCTAGTATGGGTGTAATGCCATATGGGGTATCTATATGAACTGTGTACCGGAAATTCCATCCTAAGTGAATGTGAGGGAGCTGTAGGAAGAAGTGAGAGCTTGGACTGCAAGGACCATACTCTACAGACGCTGGAGTATTGGAAAGCAAAAAGCCGTAAGATCCATACATACTCACCACACCTCCCATAAGATCGTTCATCAATCCAAACATGTCCATGAATCCGCCCCCCTAAAAAAAAGACAGGAACAAAGTTAGAAGTATCGCTATGCAATTGCCATATTTAAACCCGCAAATCATCCCAACCGATCTACTACAAGCCAACCGTCTCTGCTCCACCGACAGAAGGATCAACAGGCTCCAGAGTGCTTTGTGGTCCACTAATATCAGAAGGATGGAGCCGCTCAACTTCCAAAAGGTCAAAGGGAAACAACCCGCTTGCACTGGGTGCGACTTGCATGCCATGTGACTGGCAAATCGCATGCCAAGTTGCACCCCATTGTTCGCAATTACAGCGGTTTTATTTATATATATAAAAAATATATATATATATATAAAAAATATAATATAATATATATATATATATATATATATAAATAATATAATATATATATATATAAAAAATATAATATATATATATATAAAAAATATAATATATATATATAAAAAATATAATATATATATATATAAAAAATATAATATATATATATATAAAAAATATAATATATATATATATATAAAAAATATAATATATATATATATAAAAAATATATATATATATATATATATAAAAAATATAATATATATATATATATAAAAAATATAATATATATATATATAAAAAATATATATATATATATATAAAAAATATAATATATATAAAAAAAATTATAATATATATAAAAAAAATTATATATATATATATATATATATTCATTTTTCTTTTTTAGAGTAGTACATGCACTGTTTTGCTGCGATTTGCATAGACATCTGTATTAGATGTCTTGCAAATCGCACGTAAAATCGGCATGTCCTCACACTTTGTAATCGTGCGACTTCACTGTAAGTCGCGCAATTTCAAAGTCGGGCTTGATGTGAGGCTGCTTTCACACGGAGGAGTTTTTGAAGCGTTTTTGCATTTAAAAAGGCGACTGAAAAGCTCAAGAAAACTACTTCCCTGTGTATGTGAATGTACATCTATGTATGTTTTCACAGTGAGGCGCTGCGCTTGCGGAGCAAAAACTCCTGCTTGCAGCAACTTTAGGGCTTGATTGGCGAGCTAAAAAAAAAAAAAAATGCCACAAAAACGCCTCTTCCCATTGAAATCAATGGAAAACACCTGAAAAGCGCCTAAGAAACGCCTCTGAGAAGCGTTTTTGGTGCAGTTTTAAAGTCATATGTCCTTTAACCACTTCCCGTCTGGACAATGTACACAAACGGCCAGATGGGAGCAGTGCCAAAGCGGGTTGCCATTTATAAATGGCCCCCACATTCACTGCCTGTGGGTTTTTTTTTTTTTTTTTTTTACACTGATTGCTTTTACATCCATAAAGGCTGTAAAAGCAATCATTTCTCCTCTGTGGCTGCATTCTTGCAGCCATTGAGAAATACTGTGTGAGCTGTGATTGGTCATATGATACAAGGCTGTTGTGAATAGCCCTGTACCATGTGACCTCTGTGATCATTCACAGATTTCACACGTAGTAAGCAATGATGTCAGGAAGTGACATCTTGCTTACTACTGTTCATGTGATCACCGATTGGCCAATCAGTGATAACATGATTTGGACCTCACACAGAGGTCCAGTACAGCGATCGGTGTTCCGCACGCTCCCAGGCACTGGTGACAGGTCCTCTTTATGGAAACATCGGGTCTATTAGACCCATGATTTCTTCCCTGCCTTCCAAGGCAGCTAATCAAGCGCAGATGGTGCTTAGTTAGATGCTTCCAGGTTCGTTCATCACAGAGGAGATCAGGAAATGGACGTTCCTCCATCTGCTTTTTGGGAAGCCTCCCCACCCCCTGCTGATTACCATGGGCCTGGGCTTCCTAGAGGAATGGAAGAGCCCAGGAACCACCATGAGAGGTAGCAGGCAAGGAGGGGAATGACGCTGTTTAATGCTGTAAGGGCCAGTTCACACTGCACAGAACTGTACTGGAACGCAGTTAAATGCATCAAAATTGCACCGAAACGCACCAAAATGCATCAAAAACACACTGGAACGCACATGTCCCTATTGAGGGCCAGTTCACACTCCATGCGGTTCAGTTTTTTTTTTTGTCAGAGTCATAGTTCACATCAGCGCTTGCTGTTCCAGTGCGTTCCGGTTGCAGAAAAAAAAAAAAAAAAAAAAAAGTAGCGCAAGCTGCATTTTTCCTGCACAGGACTGTACTGGAACGCGGTAAAACGCACCATAAATGCACCGGAACGCACATGTCCCTGTTTATATTGAAGAAAAAGAGGGGAAAAAATGAACCGAAAAGCGTCACAAACGCACTGCAACGGGTCAAAACGCATTAAAAAAATGCACGTGTGGAAAGGCGTCTGGACTGCTTCTCTATGGAGTGAACCGGCCCTGGCAGTGAAGACTTCTAGGGACTGACTCTGATCAATTTAGAAGGTAAAACACTTACCATTCCCATCATATCGAATGGTGATAAGGCACCGGCCTGCAAGACAAAAGGGGCGGAGTTACACAGCGGCCACAGAAACACAAGACACCAAAATGTCACAATTCCAGCCATGCTCCATGTACACGACACGGGACTCCCAACACACCCACAGACTTCAGACCCAACCACACGTGTACATGACAAGGTGGGATCACAACGTTTCCAGACTAGTTCTGTAACATGTCAACCGATGGCAGCACAAGGCTGCATGCACAGTCACAGGGAGCACCGACCTTCATGAGTCAGTTTGCCAAAAAAACATTGTCCAGTGTACATCGGGAGTCGTGCAACTGGCGCTACTCTGACCACATTGCGTTGCCACGTCTGCCATTTCATCACGGACAGCAAGTTAGAACAAAGGTGACATTCTGCGTGAAACTGGGCAAGTCTGCCACGGAGACGTCTGACGTGATTCGGCAATGCTGCGATGAGGTGATTTGAGTGACTGCACGCACAGTCACAGGGAGCACCGACCTTCATGAGTCAGTTTGCCAAAAGACATCGTCCTGTGTCCATCGGGAGCTGTACAACTGGTGCTATTCTGACCATGAGCGTTACCACGTCTGTTGTAATTCACTGTCCATGCTGAAATGGCAGACGTGGTCAGAATAGCACCAGTTGCACGACTCCCGATGTACACAGGACAATGTCTTTTGGCAAACTGACTTATGAAGGTCGGTGCTCCCTGTGACTGTGCGTGCAGCCACTCAAAATCACCTCAGCGCAGCATCGCCGTAAACTTGCCGAATCACGTCAGATGTCTCCGTGGCAGACTTGCCAGTTTCATGCAGACTGATTAACTGATAATAAAAGTATTAGCTGGAGTTTGGCTTTAATTTGTTGGTGTATTTAAATCTGCTAGTCCGTATAACACTCCCCTCACAATGACAATGCTGCTGTCCAAAGGCGTTCCTGTTGCTCCTTCATCCAGAGTGGGGGCACTCTAATGCAGGTTTGTTATTGCCCAGATCACCAGTAAAAACAGAGGGGGGGAAAAAAAAAAAAAAAAAAAAAAGCATAAAAAGAAAAACTAATGCAGCCACCACATCTAATGACTGGTAAGCTACAATATATTTTTGGTTTTGGGTTAATGCCATTTGAATCTCATTGGATAATTATTGTTTGTTGTAGTTCTGGGCAGCGCAGTGGCTTAACGGTTAGCACTTCTGCCTGGAAGTACTTGGGTCGTTGGTTCGAATCCCAACCACAGCTCCACCTGCCTGGAGTTTGCATGTTCTCCCTGTGCCTGCGTGGGTTTCCTCCGGGTACTCCGGTTTCCTCCCACACTCCAAAGACATGCTGGTAGGATAATTGGATCCTGTCTAAATTGTCCCTAGTATGTGTATGTATGAATGTGAGTTAGGGACCTTAGATTGTACGCTCCTTGGGGGCGGGAACTGATGTGAATGTACAATATATATGTAAAGTGCAGAGTACATTGATGGCGCTATATAAGTACCTGAAATAAATAATAACAGTTGAAAATACAAAGTTATAGGACACTTCGATCATCGGTTTTTTTTTTTTACCTCTGTGCGAGGTCCCGATCATTGTGATCACTGATTGGCCAATCAGATGATCACATGCAGAGTTTAAGCAAGATGTCACTTCTGACATCATTGCTTACTACGTGTGAAATCTGTGAATGATCACAGAGAACAACATGGTACAGGGCTATTCACAACAGCCTTGTACCATGTGACAAGCTGTGACCAATCACAGCTCACTAGTAGTTCTCAATGGCTGCAAGAATGCAGCCAGAGAGAAGGGAGAAATGATTACTTTTACAGCCCCCTTTATGGGTGTAAAAAGCAATCAGTGTAAAAAAAAAAAAACCAAAACATCTTAATCACCCCCCACAAGTAGCACATTGTCGCTATGGTGACACTGTACTGCTAGGGTGACAGGATGTTTAAAAAAAAAAAAAAAACCAAAAAAAAACTATAAAAAAAAAAAAATGTTTAAAAATATAATTTTGGTTATAAACTAATTGGTTTGGGTTTTTTTTTTTGATTTATATTTTTATATAAACGAAATACATTTTGGGCCAAGATTTATGATGAAAATATTATTTAATTGCAAAATTTTAAAAGAAAAACACTTTTCAAAAAGTTTTTTGGACTTTTCAATTTACATAGCAAAAAAAAAAAAAAAAAATCCCAGCGGTGAATAAATACCACCAAAATAAAGCTTTATCTGTCCCGGAAAAAAATGCTAAAAAATTCATATGGGTACAGTGCCCGACTTGAAGGGGGGGGGGTGAAAGTGCCCGCGCAATTGTCATTCAAGGGGGGGTGTGATAGCACTGAAAGCTGAAGGGGGGGGGTGAAAGTGCCTGGACTGGAAGGGGGGGGGGGGGTGAAAGTGCCGGACTGATAGGAGGGGGGGGGGGGGGGGGGGGGTGAGAAGTGCCCGGACTGGAAGGGGGGGGGGGGGGAAAGTGCCCCGACTGGGGGGGGGGGGGGGGGGGGGGGAAAGTGCCCGGACTGGAATGGGGGGGGGGTGGGGGGGGGGGGGAAAGTGCCCGGACTGGAGGGGGGGGGGTGAAAGTGCCCGGACTGGAAGGGGGGGGGGGGGGGGGAAAGTGCCCGGACTGGAAGGGGGGGGGGTGGGAAGTGCCCGGACTGGAAGGGGGGGAAAGTGATCGGACTGGAAGGGGGGGGGAAAGTGTCCCGGACTGGAAAGGGGGGGGAAAGTGTCTGGACGAGAAGGGAAGGGGGGTGAAAGTGTCCGGACTGGAAAAGGGGGGAAAGCTGGAAGGGGGGGGGGGGTGAAAAGTGCCCGGACTGGAAGGGGGGGGGGGAGTGAAGTGCCCGACTGGAAGGGGGGGGGGGGGATGAAAGTGCCCGCCTGGAAGGGCGGGGGGGGGGTGAAAGTGCCCGGACTGGAAGGGGGGGGGGGTGAAAGTGCCCGGACTGGAATGGGGGGGGGGGGAAGGGGGGGGAATGTCCGGACTGGAAGGGGGGGGGGGAAAGTGTTCTGGACTGGAACGGGAAGGGGGGGGGGTGAAAGTGCCCGGGGGGGGGGGGTGGGGGGAAGTGTTCGGGACTGGAAGTGGTTAAAAAAACGCTTCTAAATGCAAACGCTCATAAACGTGGTACTTCCTAAACAGACATTTTTTTTTAATTCTACGTTTGCCAGCGCAGTCAGTTTCCATCGTTCAGAAAAGTGTCCCCGTGACCATGGGGCCTCAGAAGTGTCCCCGTGACCATGGGGGCCTCAGAAGTGTCCCCGTGACCATGGGGCCTCAGAAGTGTTCCCGTGGGGGGGCCTCAGAAGTGTCCCCGTGACCATGGGGCCTCAGAAGTGCCCCCCGTGACCATGGGGCCTCAAGAAGTGTCCCCGTGACCATGGGGCCTCAGAAGTGTCCCCGTGACCATGGGGCCTCAGAAGTGTCCCCGTGACCATGGGGCTCAGAAGTGTCCCCGGACTGGACCATGAGGCCTCAGAAGTGTCCCCGAGACCATGAAGCCTTACAGTATCCTCTAAACTCAGCCTTTTTCAGCCAAGATTTCACAGCATTCTAGGAAGCCGTCTGGGTTCTTCAGGGGTGCCTTGGCAAAAAGCCCAAAAATAGCCCCAAATTACCCAAAAATTGTCAACAAACCAGTGTGTGGGCCAAGCCTGCTTTTTGCCACGCAAATCCAGATTTTCAACCTTGGACACCATGGAGGCCAGCTGCCAGCATCCTAGCAACAGATGATGTCACTGGTTGAGAAGGAGGATATTGGGCGCCTGCATCGGATTCTTGTTTGCCCCTCTTTATCTCCGCACTGGGGTCACGTTAGCCGAGTGAAGGAGAAAAACTGAGGAATGTATAAAACGCTGAAACCCTAGTCAGTACCAGTGTGCACAGGAGTACAAGGTGTAACAATTTAATTCCCGGAATGCCCGCAGTGTGGCCCTATGGTGGTGAGTCGCACAGCCATTCGCACCGAAATGTGTTCTGACATGTTCTCTCCTGGGTGGCAGACCAGTGGACTCAGTCTTTACGCAGTAGTAGAAGAAATAACACATGTGTGCGTTGCGCTGTTGGCGAAAAATGAGTGACGGGAATTTTTTATAGCATAGGTGGTTTAGGAGAGGGCGGGAAGATGTTCACGATGACGCAAGAAGAGGGCAGTGAAAATCGCAAAGGACGGAGGCAAATGTGGAAATATGAGAAGGTTCCGGGAATCTGTTCAGAGGAAAAGACCGGAAATCTGGCCTGACAAATGGATTCTCCACCACGACAATGCTCCTGCACATGATGTGTTCCATAATTCCTGGCCCAGAAATCCATTAAGAAACTTGACCGACCACCTTATGAATGCCCCTGACTCAGCAGCCTGCGACTTCTGGCTGTTTCCAAAATGAAAAAATGCCTTAAAAAGGACACAGATTTGATGACATTTTGGACATCCAGAACACAGTGACCAAGATAATGCGCGGTGTTCCGGAAAACGAATTCCAGGAATGATTCTGGAAGGTGGCGCAGTCATCTAGATCAGTGTTTCTCCACCTTTTTTCAGGCAACGCATCCTTTAAAATGATGGACAGTCCCGAGGCACCCTTTAATATAACTGGACAGTCCCGAGGCACCCTTTAAAATGATGGACAGTCTTGAGGCACCCTTTAAAATGATGGACAGTACCCTTTAAAAATGGACAGTCCCGGGTACCCTTTAAAATGATGGACAGTCTTGAGGCACCCTTTAAAATGATGGACAATCCCGAGGCACCCTTTAAAAATGACAGTCCCGAGGACCCTTTTTAAAATGAACAATCCCGAGGTACCCTTTAAAATGATTGGACAATATCATGGACGGAGGCACCCTTTAATATACTGGACAGTCCCGAGGTACCCGTCTTGGCACCCTTTAAAATGATGGACAGTCCGAGGCACCCTTTAAAATGAGGCAGTCCCGAGGCACCCTTTAAAATGATGGACAGTCTTGATGGACACAGGCACCCTTTAATCCCGAGGCACCCTTTAAAAAAAACAATGCACCCTTTAAAATACTGGACAGTCCCAGGCACCCTTTAAAATGATGGACAATCCCGAGGCACCCTTTAAAATATGGACAATCCCGAGGCACCCTTTAAAATGATGGACAATCCCGAGGCACCCTTTAAAATGATGGACAATCCCGAGGCACCCTTTAAAAAAACTGGACAGTCCCGAGGTACCCTTTAAATGATGGACAATCCCCAGTCCCGAGGCAACCCTTTAAAAAATGACAGTCCCGAGGCACCCTTTAAAAACGGACAGTCCCGAGGCACCCTTTAAAATATGGACAGTTGAGGCACCCTTTAAAATACTGGACAGTCCCGAGGCACCCCATTCTAAAATGTGAAAAACTATTCTAATAGTTCTATATAACACAGCAACATCCACACATGTAGGACACCCAACATTAGAGGGGATTTATTCTTCCAAAGCAAATACACTTCTGCACACTGGTACTGACTAGTATTCCATTGTTTCTCCTCTCCCTCAGTTTTTCTCCATCACTGAGCTAATGTGACCCCAGCACTGATGGGAATGGGCGGGGGAGGGTCAAACTAGGATATTGTGCAGGCAGCTGACATCCTCCTTATCAACTGATGTTATTGGTTGTCAGGACCCGGCGGCTAGAAGGTCGTAATGGTGCACAATGATAATATGTGGCTTTGTGTAACTAAAAGGCCGGCTTGTTCCACCCGCTGGCTTGTATACCAGTTTTGGGCAATTTTTAGACATTTTGCAAAGGCACCCCTTAAGAAGCCTCAAGGCACCCCTTGAAGAAGCCTCAAGGCACCCCCTGGAAGAAGCCTCAAGGCACCCCCTGGAAGAAGCCTCAAGGCACCCCCTGGAAGAAGCCTCAAGGCACCCCCTGGAAGAAGCCTCAAGGCACCCCCTGGAAGAAGCCTCAAGGCACCCCCTGGAAGAAGCCTCAAGGCACCCCCTGGAAGAAGCCTCAAGGCACCCCCGGAAGAAGCCTCAAGGCACCCCCGGGAAAACCTCAAGGCACCCCCTGAAGAAGCCTCTCAAGCCTCAAGGCACCCCCTGAAGAAGCCTCAAGGCACCCCCTGAAGAAGCCTCAAGGCACCCCCTGAAGAAGCCTCAAGGCACCCCCCCCTCAAGGCACCCCCGGAAGAAGCCTCAAGGCACCCCCCTGAAGAAGCCTCAAGGCACCCCCTGAAGAAGCCTCAAGGCACCCCCTGAAGAAGCCTCAAGGCACCCCCTGAAGAAGCCTCAAGGCACCCTGGCTGAGAAAGGCTGCGCTAGAGTATAGGTAAGCAAACTTTTTTCCGTTTACAATCCATGCTGGGAATGAAATTGTCGCACCTTGTATTTGTTTTGTAAAAATAAATCCCCTCCGACGATGGCGGTCCTACGTGGGTGGATGCTGCTGCGCAATACGGAACAGTGTTTGTTTAGGTTTTTTTACATTTTAGAATGCGGTGCCTCAAGATGGTGCATACCTTTATATGCTGCCTTGCATCAAAAAAAAAAAATGTGGAGAAATAACAGCCCTAACAAGATGCGTTTCTGAAGACTTTGTATTTGTAGAGCAAATATTTACTTCTCTATACGGACTCGTGCCTCTGTGGATACACCCAGGTTTCCTTTTTCTGTGTAACTGCCGCTTTCTTCCTCTACTAAAGCATTCATCCTTACTGCCATTTAAAAAGATTTATACTCCATTATTAATGGGTGCAATATACACGCCGTG